AAAAAAAGGGGGGGGGGGGGTACGCGGCAGAAAAAATGGGGGTACCCCATTATCGTACACTCGGCCAGGCCCCCTGGTGCTGAGCAAAACAAGTTTTCTTAAAGCGGGGAGATTACCTAACACGAGCGTCCTTAAAACGGGGTCGACTGTATCCTCGGCTTCAGCCGCAAGGGTTCGTTCCATGGCGGTATGGCATCACACCGCACATGCAGCCTGGAGAGCATGAACCGTGTGTGTGCTGCATTCGCTGAACCGTAGAGATGGGCCTCAGACCAAAAACGTCCCCCCCAAAAGGGTAGGTCAGAAGCCCGATATCCTGACTGTGATTCTTGCTCCCTTCTCCTTCGACGAGTATCGTGATTAGCATCAGCTGGTATCACTGAGAAAAATAATGGACTTCTCTTAACCCTAACCCCCACCCTAACCCTAAGTGAACAGGCTTAAAAAAAAATACTCTAAATAAGCCCAGTATCCAGCAGTATTTTCTCCCACTCACTGCAAAGACTTCAAAACATCCCCTTCGACTGCAGTAATATCTCGAACGGGTAGATAGTCTTCCTGTTTTTGTGCGCATGTAACTTTTCAAAAAAAAAAAATGTCAGTCAGAAAATTGAAGCGATCGTGTAAGAGTAGTGTTCTGCCGGCTTGATGGCTTCCTGCACGGATGAATGCAATACTTTCCCCCCGGACCAAGCCGACGTTTAACGGCTCTAAACCTTGGGCCGACGGGCGGCACCGTTGAGCCAACGTAGTGGGCGGTGGTGGCGGCCTCTTGTTTTTGGTTCTTCGTTGAAAGAGCGAAGCAGACACCGGGACTCGAACCTGGAGACAAACGAAACTTTCTACTCGGTTCAACCATGGCCAAGGCGAGCGACGCCCTTTGTTGGTCTACTCGTGAAACACTGTCTGTGTACCCCCCACGGACGCCAAGCCTCTGACGCCCACGGACACCTTCATACGGCAACCGCATGTACCACTCCTAAGAGACCTGTCCGTCAGTGTCCGGCCAAATTTGCACTTCACAAAACAGCGTAAGAAGCATTTTCATGGGGCGAGCGAATTACTGCTTCCGTCATTGTCCTTATCCGTCCCTCGCGCTGGGCCCACTTGTGGTATCTCCTCGCTGTTTTCCATTTCCCCGTCAACATGACGTTACGATTTCATGAAACATGCGCGCCAGTGGTTTCCTTCTTTTCCACACAAAGGTGGGATAGACAATGTATGTTTGCCTGTTCCCCACGCAAGTCGACAAGAGCCGAGACAACAACCTCCTTAAGGCCACATCCTACATCCCTACAGACAGCAAGCAGTGTGCATGTATCTCCTTCCTCTCGGAAACCGATCTCCATCTTCGGCCAAACCACTATTACGTAGTCTTGACGTCACAGAACGGCTATCCGTTCGAGACCATTCTTGGGCAGAAGTATTGAAACTTTGAAACAGCAGATTGTCTGTCTTTGTGTGGAGTCCATTGGGACAAAATTTGCAACCACGACACGAAGTTCGCTGGTTGATGTGGCAGTACTCTCCGTGCGAGAGAAAACTGGCATCTCATCTCTGTTGAGGATGTGCACACATGATGGCTGCTGTCTCGCCGACGGCAACAGCAGTGCACGCACGAGAAATTGTATCACATCAGTATGCAATACGTCATACGTAGCAGATGGTACATGGTGTAGACGAGGTTTCAAACAAACATAAAATCATGTACGTGAGCAGCAGCAGTGTCGAGAACTGCTGTGGTCGTACGCAACATGCACATACCAAGCTTGTACTGTTGGTGTTGTTGTAGACTGCACCAGGCGAACCCGTACATCTGCAGGATAGTACCAAGAGAGACGCGCACACTTCGGCTCCCAAGCGAGCATACACGCGCACAAAGTGCATCTCACGGTACTAGGGTACCCGACCACAGCGGTCGGTCGTGATGTGTTAGACATCGCCTCTCGTTCTGGGTGTGTGGATGTTGCGCGAAGAGGCGGGGCTTTCGGGTGTTTGAAAAGTAACGTGCCGTGGAGAGGACGCGGGCATCAACAGGTGATTCTTGGTGTTGTTTGTGTGCGGGTGCTTGATTTTATTGTTGTCACACGTGTCGATCGGATCTACGGGCGTCGCGCGGTCGTCCATCTAGCAGTGGGCGAGAGAATGGGGCTGTGTAGCAAAGGCGGCTGGGGAAAGAGAAGCGGGCTGTGTGGTGTGGGGGGGTGTAGATGCTGTAGGCCGCTGTGTGGGACGGCAAATTCAATATTGTTCTTGTACATTTGTGAGTAGGAGTATGGTGTAGGCCGCTGTGTGGGACCGCAACTTCTGGCAAATTCAATGTTGTTCTTGTACATACGTGAATATCTTTCTCGGAGCAAGCGTTTCAAATCGAACGAATTTATGGAGTAAGTGCGGGAGCACTCCCCACATCTGAGATCTGCCACAAACAAGCCCACAGCAGCTGACTTTTACCGCTGTGTTGTACATGCACGCATCCAAAAGCAACGGCGCCGACCGGGGGCAAGAAGAACAACGACTAATTTGTTCCAATAGTTGGGTTACATTTTCGATCTCTGTGAGAGACAATCGCGGTTTAAAAATCCCCATCCCTTGCTGTCTCACCCCTTTGGAAGGAACTCCTCCTGCGGAAAGTCACCATTCGATTCCATCGTTTCCCCTGACCCTATCTTGCTCGCGACCTGAAGCCCGCGATAATTTGTGCTGCTGTCTGTGGTTGTCACGCCGCACTCACAGCCCAGCCGAAGGGGCTTCTTGCCGTGAACAGCGGTACGTGTCCGAACCAACGCCGATTCACGGAGCCCACCCCCCGAGGCCCGAGAGCATGACACGCACGCCGCCGCTGCTGTGCACACCGCACACAGCAGGACGGCAATCTACACAGTCGTCCTAACTGCCGTCAGAAGCATGGCTGGCAGAAGTAGCGGGTGCCCGGTGCAGCACGCGCCGAAAGAATCCTCGCCGACGCCAGCAGCAACAGCAGCGGCCGGAAATGAGTCGACTGCTTCGACGGAGTCAGAGCAAGCAAGCGGACGGCGCTGGTCATCAAGGGTTGCCGCCTGGCTTCCCTTCCGCCAGGGCGGCGGTGGTGGCAGTGACAGCAGCGCTTCCAAGGGTAGCGGTGGAGCTGCAGCACCAGCACCAGCACCCGTTCAAGGCAGCGCGGCTTGGCGCGGGACGAAGGAGGAACACGGCGGCGGCGGCGGTGGGGGGTGTCCGGTGAACAGCTCTGGGGAGGACGGAGGAGACGACGCCGTCCCGCCGTCGTCTTCGTCCGGCTGTCCCGTCGAGCATGGCTCGGCAGCAACGTCAACAGCAGCCCCGGCAGAAGGGTTGGGCAGAGTGTGGGGATACCTGACCGGGAGCATCGGTGGGGCGGGAGGTAGTGGCGAAGTTTCTTCGGCCACGGCACCAGCGCCGGCAGCACCGGAGTTGTACAATGCGCGGAATAACGAGTACGTCTACGGGCAGGAGGTGGCCGCGGGGCAGGAGGTTCCCCTGTCCACGTCGCGGCAACGCTCCTCGATTCCGAAGGCAGAGTTCAACCCGGACCATCAGCCCCAGGTGCGTTAGTGCGAGGAAAACGGGGGAGGTTGTATCTATCCCACCCGGTATACAAAAAGCAGAGTCACCCCGCAGGGTGGCATAGAGTCAGCTTCGATCGATAATACCGGTCGCCCCGGTGGTCTAGTGGGTAACCTCGCAGCTTGCTAAGGGCCAGGTCATGGGTTCGAGTCTCGGCAGAATGAGTTTTTTTCTCACTAAATAACTCCTGGTCTAGGATGAAAGCGATGCGTTGCAAAGCTCGTTGTTAGTAAACCATAATCGATTTCGTAAGTCGCGAGGGAAGGGATTGCGGTACCCTTCTCGCGATAAAAATACATACCTCAGGCAGGAACCGCAGGAGGGGGTCCAGCCCCCCCTTCTATGTGACCCCAGTTGGGTCTTCTAGCTAGTAGAAGTGGAGGATAGGGGCCAGAGGGGCAGAAGACAGAATCCGATGATGGGAGAAAAAAACATACATATTCTCCATGTCTGCTGTGCGCAAAGTGCGCAACTTCACGAAGACCAAGCGGTCGGTTCCACACGAGTTCCTTTCGTTTCCAGCTCTTGGCACGACCACTTCAATGCGCTGGAGGACGGCCTTTCCAGCATCGCTGGTGCGAGCCTGGGCGGGGTCGATGCCAATGCCGTTCAGGTCACGGCACAGCGCTCTGTACCGAAGTCGTGGGATCCCTTCCCCGATTTCTACCCGCGCAACAGCTTATATATATATTGTGACGCACTGATGTTCGAAGGAATATGTACAGCTTGGATCACTCACAGCAGGATTGGCCGTATCAGGAATGGTGGCGCACAGTGTGGAAAAGAGAAGACTGAGAACCTTCCCGGGTGTGCGTCTTGTCTGCGTGATATATGTCTGCGCAAGGGGCTGAAATCGACTTGCCGGAATGCGCGGGCGTAGCGTTTCAACCTGCTACCTGCGTGCTTCTGTTTCCGTTGCTCCTCTCCTGTCACTCTACTTGTACGGGTTTGTTGGAGCGTTGGGCGTTTTTTTCCGTGGGTGAGGGCTTTCATTCAACCCTCCGAGGAATCCTTATCCTGTTATCTGGTGCGGGAAACTCTCTGTCGTGCCGAACCCGCTCTTCCTTCTCGCAATTGCTTCGAGGTCCCTGTTCCAAGTTCCTTGAGCTCCCTCCCCCCGCCCCCCCCGCCCTCGCCCC